TTTTACTCTAAATGGGACCATCAGTTACTAAATGAACATCATGCTGTATGGAAGAAGACTGAAACTAGAGACTGAGACTATAAACCCCTCAGGAAACTGAGCTGTAGGCTCACTTCTGCGTTGGCTTCATTTCACAGCCCTGGAAAAAAACCCGAATTATATACTCTCAGTGGCCTTCACATTTTTGCCTGAATCAAAACTGCTTGCTCAGCACATAAATGCATTTCAGTTGAGTTTAGTTAGGCTAGGTTTGGCCTTAAAGAGTCTTTTGCACACATTAGGTTTGGATAAAATGACACGCCATGTTAGGTAGATGTTTTACCAGGTGAGACTTTGACGTCTGATGCCCATCTCATTGGCCACTGAGGACCAGCGTGTCTGGGGAGGAGCCAGCTATGGAAATGACTCCTATGGCAATACAGATGACGCTACGTGACCCAGTTTTATCTCTTTGCTGTCCTCATTCTGCCCTTTTTCTTCTGCCTGCTTGCATTGGAGACTGAAATAAGAGTGAAATAAGAGTGGAAGAGGGTAAGATAGGATGAGAGCGAGGAGGATGCCCTATTTTGTCAGCGACCTGCTTTCTGTCTGAATAGAAGCACAGTTCTAAAAAGCAGAGGGGAGGAATGAGTCAATTTTCTTGCACAAACCAATCTGGTTTATTATTAGTTTTCTCTTTAAACAGTGCTTTTTCATAATATGTGAAATTGCTATTTGTCATAATGCCCATCTGGATTTTATTGATGTATCCATAACAGTAATCAGAATTCCTGTGCCAGTTGAATGTTTATCTATTTGAATCTCTCTGCAGCACATGATGGTGATGGAGGACATGTTGAAAGACTTTCTATTAGGAGAGCACCTCCTGTTGGTGGGCAACCAGGTGAGTGACATATGAAAACATTCAACTTCCTGCTTTACTGAAAATCCCCCAGTCCCCAGACAGGCCCTGTTAAGACTGGGGCCTCAAGAACTTATATGCATAGAGGTCCAATCTTGATCACTATCATGATCGCACTTTGATGTCATGTAAAATATGCAGAGCTGAGACTATCTCCTTTTTGCAGCAATGGCTCTTAGGGAAGTAGGGAAGAGTTATGAAACATGCTCCCTGCACCCTGATGTCACCCTCCAACCCCACCTGCTCACAGCTCACTGTGGGCATAAGGAGACATGTAGCACCTCCTTGGGGACATTCTGTGTCCCTAGACAGGTCCTAATGGGTAAGGTTAAAGGGAGGAGGAGGAGAGAGTGACAGTGTACTTGCAGCCAAGGCGAGGTAGCCTGTGTGTGGGTTTTTTTTTTTGCATGAATGTTTATGTGAGAAATTGAACTGAGCGGGAGAAGCTATTTGCAAATTTGAGTGCACGACCATGCATGGGCGAAGAAGAGACATTAGGAGCTGTCAGAGCTGCTTACTGGACGTCTGACAGACTGGCCGAGAGACTCAGCAGCTATCCAGGAGAGGCAGGCTCTGTGGGAAGCCAGTGGGAGTACCAGAGAAGATTCCCTGTCAGAACGCAGCAGCATCAAAACTTAAGGGACACGCTCGACTCTCCCTCTCAGCGCTGCCTCTCTACAGATGAAACGGACACCTCTTTATCTCTCTCTACAGCCTATGTTACTGATACACAGTTGGTGTGTTAAGACTTCATTAAATTGTGCTGGTTCTGAATGTTGTGTTTGTATTCTTCCATAGGGTGTGGGTAAGAATAAAATAGTGGACCGGTTCCTGCACCTGCTGAACAGGCCCAGAGAATACCTACAGCTCCACAGGTAAGGAGAAGTGTTTAACCCAAACACAAACTATAGATCAAAACTTTCATACGTTGGCTTGGAAAAAAACAGTTTGTGAAATATTCAGGTTCATACTTGTATTTAGGGGATCTACTAGTTTATTTTTCCAGACATTTCCATCATAAATAAAGTGAATCCTATGGGTCCCCACTTCTACAGATGGTGTGAGTAGATGAAGAGTTTTGTGTAGCAGCCAAGAACAAAGGAATTGGACTGGACTGTTAACTAACCTTTTGTGGTGCCATGTTGCTCTATGATGTCATAGCAAAATGGAAGAGGAGGCTGAATTCAAATGACGCGCGCCAGGCAGTGTTTTCTGTGGGAGACAGTAACTCCCTTTGGCATACCTTTTATATGCACAAAAAAAACTATATAACATACTTAAGCACAGGGAAACCCCAAAAAGCATAATATGGCCTCTTCTCTTTTAAAACTTTCTCTGAATATGTTCTTTTAAGAACAAAAAGCACAATAGGTCCTTCGCGATTCATTTTTATTCAGACAGCTCATGTGACTCCTGCTTCTGTATTCACGTATAGAGTCGTCCGTGTATGGGTCACCAGCTGCAAAGCCACAGCTCTCCAGTTCATTATCAATTATCAATCGAGGGCCATTTTCAGGGTCCAAAATCAACAGTTTGTTTTTACAAGGCAAAATTGTTTTTACCAGACATAGAACTGCATCATTTGACTAAAAATAATTACTTCAAGTTTCTGAACCTTTTGACTTTCAGATTTTAGCTAAGACCTTGGGACTCCTGTGTTGTTCAGATGCCAACGCTTGCAAAAAAAACGCTGACCATTGTGACTCTTCTCCTCATTAGGAATGTGTCGCCAAATCTCTTATAACACAGATAATTCTTATAGCAAAAGAAAAGAAAGTTTAGAAAGTACCAAATAGTAGCAGCTGCTTTGATTTGATTCACTGATGTCATGATACGGTGGGCAGTGAGGGTCACATTAGTCTCAGCCAAAACATTTCAACTTTGCCATACAGTATGTTTCCAAAATATTTAACATAGAAAGCCATGGGTGAACCCAATTTATTTTTCTGCCAAAACCAAAATTTAGCAGCATTTGCAGCTTGGCGAGTATTAATTTCAGACCCCTTATTTTTCTGCATTCAAAATTCAGTTTGAGTGCCCTGGTAGCTCCCCTGATAGAGTGTGCGCACCATGTACCAAGGCTGAAATACCTGGAAATTTAGAGACAAATTTTCCAGTCATGGAAACATTCGGAAATTGATTAAAATGACCAAATATCAAATATTTATATTTAGTTTGAAACTTGACTGTTGGTAGGATGAGCTGCGTGGTATGCCACTTCAAAGGGGGGTTTAACAGACACAGAGCAGAACAGAAAAATGCTTCCTTTTTATTTCATCTCCTGCGTCAGTCAGTGTAGCTGTTCACCCCAGACACGGAACAAACGCCACAAAAGTGTCCCATAAACGCTGACCACCTACCTGTAATGAACCCGAGAGTTTATCATGAACTCTGCATCATTTTAAAAAATGAAAAGTCAAACAGGTTTGAAGTGTGTCAATACTACTGGTAAATGAGCATTTGTGAGCAAATGCTCGCCTGTATTGTCAAGAAAAAAGCCTGGAAAATGTTTTCCTAAAAAGAGTGGGAACCCAGCGGCCTGTGTTCGATTCCAGCCTGCTGCATGTCATCCCCTCCCTCTGCCCCCATTTCCTGTCTCTCATCAACTGTCTCTCTGTCCATTAAAGGCAAAAAAGTCTGATAATAATTATAATAATAATTATAATAATAAAAGTCTCAGTTTCTCAGGTGTTTTAATACTGCATCTTGCTATTACTGTTGGAATCTTGAGAGGCTCCCTAATGGGATATCTGTAAAACACTTCAGTATCTACTGTGATGTACTGGAATGCTTTTTCAGGAGTAATAATCACATATGCTTCTTTTAAGTACTTATAGTTTCCCAATAAGAGGAACAAAGTCTGTTTAAGAGAGATGTGGGCAGCCAGAACGTTCTCTTTCCCATATAAGGGTGTCAAACATTATTTTGGTCCTCAGTAAATTAGGCCATCCTTCACTAGAACAAGGACTTCACATGCCCATATTAAAGAAGAACTGTTTGAAGAAGTCCTTGTTAGCTCAGGTCCACTGCTTCTATAAATACACACACATCACAACTCAGGAAAATTAGGTCACAGGCTCACACCTCAGGAAAATCAGGTCAGAGTTGCTCATCCATAGATCAGTGTGTGGTGTGCTGTGAAATCAGCCTTGCTGTTGAATGTAGCTTAGAGGCAGAGATGGGCCTTGTATTGATTTTGGCTCTTATAAGAAGGCACTGTTTCAGAGTCAATGACTCTGTGACAGGAAACAGAATGCCAATAAAAGTCATCACTTGTATGAACCTGAAGAACTGAAGTAACGTTTCAATCCTGTATCAACGGCAGAGTCAGTGGTGGCCAACGAGACACATGTAGACACATGTAGACATTTCTCCTCTCGGCCAGCGTGTGCAGTTCGTCAAAGTCTTGTGAAAGTCGAAGCGGAGCCGAGCATGGATGTGGCCTGGTTAGCTACTGTAGCAGCAGCTAATATTAGACCGGAGCAGAGGCAGGGAGATCTGTGCATGTGGCTTTTGGGAGCCTGTGACTGAGAGCCTACAGAGATGTGGCTCAGAAAAGCAAGAGAGATGCAGCCAGCCAGGAAGGAAACTAGGACGGCTCCTGGGTCACACTGCGAGACGTCGAGGAGAGAGGGATGTTCAGAGAAAGAGGGGAGGGGTTCATTTTGGACACCTCTAGGGAATCCAAGTTATTGGGGGAGATGCTGGGGAGACGTTTGTGTCGCTGGCTTGTTGAACTCAAGTGCAGTGTTACTGACACCCTTTTTCACTGGCCTGCATCTGATGATTAACCGCTATAAAAATAACTTGCAGTTGGGAGCCAATGAACTGTTAGAGAGGAAAAGAGAAATCTGACATCACAAAGAGACCTGTTCCTAATAATTGATAAATGAAAGTTTTTAAAGTCAAGCTGCACATTTTATATCTTACCTCAATTTGATTGTTTTTCCAAACTTTATAAATGAATATATACAGCGTCATCCCCCTATCTTTTTAAAGTATTTTTTTTTCGGCTTTTTATGCCTTTATTTGATAGGACAGCTGGAGACAGACAGGAAAGGGGGACAGAGAGGAGGGATGACACGCAGCAAAGGGCCGCAGGTCAGATTCGAAACCCTGGGCCGCTGCAGCAAGGACTCAGCCTCGGTACATGGGTCGCAGCATCTACCCACTGAGATAACCGGGCGCCCGTCACCCCCCCATCTTGCATGTGTGTATATAACCTTGTTTTCTGCTCCCCCAGGGATACAACGGTCCAGACTCTGACCCTGCAGCCTTCAGTCCGAGACGGAATCATCATGTACGAGGACTCACCTCTGGTCAGTTAGCAACGCACACACACTTCCTTTGTAGTTATTTTTACCGGATCATTTTCTTTGCATATGTAGTGAATATGTTTTCACAGCCCACCAGAAATAAAAGTGTGGTTTTTCTTATCAGTCACCAGTCCTGGTCCTTTAGAGACTCAGCTGTGGACATCTGATCTTTGGAGGCAACACACTGTGACCTCATAAATATGAGGTGTAATTACATGGTTAAGTACTTATTCTTGAAAATAGACATCAGTGAATGACAATAAAAGTTTTTTAATAGTAGCTCGACAATAATGTTTTTTTTTTTTGTTTTTTTTTAAAATTGGTCATATTTGCTCAAAGTTTCACTAGGAGGAACCAGAGGAACCT